GTCTTTCAGCGGAATTCTGTAGAGATTAATAGAAGACCTGAATTCAACAAAGTGGATGAAATAGATAATAATAATAATAAATGAATGGAAGAACAAAGGGAGGGCAGTAGTAGTGAAGACGAAAATTATTAATCCTGTAATACAAGGAGATAGAGAGACACGGGGTATAAGAACACATTTCTGGCTAGAAAGAATATACTATGGCGAGGATGGTGTAGAGAATTGGCAAACTGAACAAGAAATTTGTCAAAAACTGTGGCAGATCACTAAAATCATAAACTTAAAACAGACAAAGGAAGAATTTCCTGTCATCCCATGGGAGACTATAATACATAGTCTGTGGGTCCCCTACACTCTAGCACCAATACTAGAATACTTGCGTAATCAACCAGCTGCAACAGCCACATTCCCTTTGCATCCCTTTTTGAAGTTTCCTGAAGGATTGAACATAGCAGGAAGAACTAGAGCAGCAGTAGATCCAAGGCTCGATATAAACATCGTCCCCAGAAGTGTAGAGTGGGAAACGGGGAAATTCGGATACATAGTTAAAACCCCGGCCGAAGACGGGTCTGAAAATTTGAGATTCAGTCCCACGAGAAAAGCTGTTATAAAGAAAGGACTTACAGTAAGTAAAATAGTGATATTAATGATAAGAAAAGCTCACCCTGAGCCCGAAATTTCTAGACTATCAGGCAGTGCTAGACAAGGGTTTATGGTAGCTAAAATGGGGAATGGACAGGGATTGCTGAACCAAGTGGAGCTAGTGATAAGACAGCAGCCCGACCATGTTAAACAAATAACACATTGCATGAATAAATGGCACAGGCGAACATCAGGACGATTACAGTGGCCAAAGAATGGAACCTTTGAAGCAATGAAGTAGAGGCCAATATTAAACATTACAAAGCAAAAGACACAAGTAATCAGAGAGAGGGAAAGCGAGCGAGAGAGAGGGAGGTGCTCAGATGGTTCAGACTAACAGCACATACTGGACATAAAACGGTTACCAGCCTTGTCAGCAGATGGCAGCAAGGACGAGCAAAAGCAAGTAGTCATGCCCACTGCCCCCGCGCAACCGCCTCCTTGTACAGAGCCGGCAGTTCACAGTAAACTGGTGTACTCAGCCCGGCCAAAAAGAAACATCACAAGTTGATAACACGAGCAGCTCCTGTTCAAGCAACGAATCCTGCAGCACAAGCTACAAAGGAATTCAGCGACCAGATAGCAAAACTGAGGGTTGTAGGAAGAAGGCTCACAGGATATTAAAAGACCCCCATCACCCCAGCAACAAACTGTTCTGTCTGCTGCCGTCTGGTAGACGGTACCGCAGCATCCGGACCAGGACCACCAGACTCAGGGACAGTTTTATCCCACAGGCTATACGACTGTTGAACTCCTGAGCTCTGTGAAGGTCACTACATCTGTTTATAGCAACATATTTATTTATACATTTTATTATTCATACACACTTATAATGTTTTATTATAATGTTTATTTGCACCTTACAATGTTTTGGGTTTTTTTGCACTAGTTACTGGCATTTGTACTTTATTGTTTTATTTGCACTAGTGTATTGGTATTGTATTTTAGTTACTCTTATTTTCTGAAACTATTACATGTTGAGATGCTTGAGGTGCCTGGGATTTAAGATTTTCATTGCCAACATGTACACTGTATCTGTTGTGACAGTAAAACCTTTGAACTTTGAAAAAGAGCGACGAAGGAGGAGAACAATAAATAAACATCTCTTTGCTTTTACATATCTAGGACAGCAGTACACATACACTCGTCTTCCACAGGGATATGTAGAAAGCCCCACATTATCTAATAGAGTATTAGCACATGACCTGCAACATTTGAAAGTAAGAACCACTGTTATTCAATATGCAGATGACCTGTTGATATGTAGCCATACTAAATCTCAGTGTGAGGAAGACTCAGTCTCAGTCCTGTCTGCATTGGCTAAGGGGGGACACAAAATCAGTTAAGATAAACTACAGTTCTGTCAACCCCAAGTTGAATACTTGGGCAGGCTACTTTGTGGTAATAAACGTGCTATAGCACCCTCACAGATTGAATCTGTAACGAAGGCTCCCAAACCGCAGACGGTGGGACAAATATTGTCATTTCTGGGGATGGCAGGGTTTAGTCAACCATGGATCTGTGATTATGCTATTAAAACTGCCCCACTGCGAGCTTTAATCCAAGTAGCAGGACAAACAAATGGTTCCGCTGAATTATTATGGACAGCTGAAGCTGGCCCTAAAAAAGGATATGCAAACGGCACCTGTGCTAGGTAACCCTGACTATGATAAAGTGTTCCACTTGTATGTTGCAGAAAAAGCAGGATATGTGTGTGCTGTTTTGATGCAGGAGACTCCTACTGGTAAGCAACCACTTGCATATTACAGTACCAAACTGGACAACATTGAAACGGGCCTGCCTCCCTGTTATCAGGGACTGGAAGTAGCTGCCTTTGCCTTTCAAAAAGCGTCAGCTGTGACCATGGGTCACCCTACCATTTTGCATACATCTCACCAGTTACACACGCTGATCACTAGTCCCAGATTTGTGTTAACCCAAGAACAGGCTATGAGGTGATTCTCTCAGCGCCTGAACTCACTATACAACGCTGTGCCACAGTCAATCCGGCCACACGAATGATGATTCCCACAGAGGGTACACCACATGACTGTGTTCAGGCTACAGATGTGTTCTTAAAACCTCGTGAAGACTTGCATAACCAGCCTATAGCAGCACAACTTACTTACTTTGTAGATGGCTCTTGTTTCAGAGACGCCACTGACACTCACACTGTTTATGCTATAGTGCATTTATTATCTGAAAATTCTTTTACAGAGGTACAGGCTACCAAAGTTTCTCAACCTTGTTCGGCACAGCTCGCTGAAATCAAGGCTCTGACTGCAGCATGTCAATTGGCAGCAGGTAAAACTCTCAATGTTTATACAGACTCTCAATACGCATATGCTGTGTGCCATATACATGGCAACGTCTGGAAGCAGAGAGGCTTCCTGAGAGCAGACGGCACCCCAGTAACACATGGGGAAGCTATTTCAGCATTATTAGATGCTATTCACCTTCCAGTCGCTCTGGCAATTATTAAATGCGCAGCACATCAAAAAACAGACTCCCTCATAGCAAAAGGAAACAATCTGGCTGATGAAACTGCTAAACGTGTAGCTACCAGCCCCTGCGTAGGACCTGTATTAGTAGCAGAGGACTGTGAACCTCTCACAAATTTAGCATCTCTTATATTAGCTCAAAACAACGCTGGTCCTTATGAACAATCTGTGTGGCTCAAAAGAGGAGCCATTAAAAATGTTGTTGCTGGACCTCAAAATGTCTGTGGCGTAGCATGCAAGGACATTTTGTTCTCCCACCCTCATTGTTAAAAATCGCTATTAGAGATGCGCATGGAGCTGACCATTGCGCAAGGGGGGAGGTTATAAGACGACTTCAGAAAGTCTGGTGGACGCCATTTTTAGCAGCCTCAGTAGATAGAACATTACATGAATGTGATGTGTGTGCACATCACAATGTGAGGAAAGCATTTTCTGCACCCTAAGCACACATTCCACCACGAGGTCCATTTCGACATTTAATGATGGATCACATAGATATGACTGAACGAGTAAAGGGTTTTAGATATATCTTAGTACTAATAGATAGGTTTAGTAGATGGATATAAGCAATTCCAACCAAAGGACCCGATTCTAGGTCTACAGCAACATTTTTGTGCAAAGAAGTTTTTCCAAGATTTGGACTCCCAGACACCATAAGCTCAGATAATGGAGCAGCCTTCGTGGCTGAGACAATAAAGATAGCCCTGAAAATGCTGGGCATCAAACAGAAATTTGGATGTGTATACCATCCACAATCACAGGGAGCAGTAGAACAGGCTAATGGCACTTTAAAAGCAAAACTAGCAAAAATCAAAGCTGATAGCCATCATAAAGTGAATTGGGTAGATGCATTACCACTGGCTTTAATGTCTATTCGCTCACAAACTAACCGACTAACACACTTAACACCTCATGAAATGCTTACTCGGAGGCCAATGCCAGTGCCGTATCTTAGGGATCCTTATGAAGGCCCAACACTTAAACAATGCTAAAGAGAATTGACATGTTATTTGAAACATCTAACCCAAATACACAAGACTTTGTTTCAACAGGTAAAAGCTGTATCTGAAGAACCAGGTCCAGGGGGCGAGGTCCCAGAACCAGATCCAGGGGAAGGAACCTCAGCAGGACTAACGGCCCCACCAGGGTGTGACCCATATAACGTGTGGAATTGGGAAACACGTACATGGGACAGGATGGAAGACTGACAGGGGCAGAAGCACTCTGTTGCTAGCCTTAGGAATAACTCTAATGCTGATAGGTTGGAACAACATACCCACTACACCCAAAACAGAACGACAGCAGCTGGTAGAGTGTGCCATGGCCACAGGGCTGATGGCAATTGTAAGAGGCAAGATACCAGTTAACAGAATGATCACACTCACGTACAGTAAGTACAGTCAACCCAAGACAATCAGACATTGACATATGGTCCAAAGGGCATAGAAATAGACATGCAGCCACTCCATCCACAATGCCTGACAGAAGGGTTGATAATGTTATTAACGCGATGCTCTCCCAACCAATGTACAGAAACCAATTTAGGGCAAACATTGACTGGTCCTGAAGCAACCAAATTGATGAAATTATGAACTATACGACGTAGACCGAGAAGTTTGCAGGATATAGTGCAACAGGTCGGAAAATTAAAAATACTAGGAAGACGTGGGAGAAGAAGAAGAGGAAGTCTAAATCAAAATCGCTATAAGGATACAAGCCGGTTTTTCAGAAAGTATTAAATAAACTCCCATTTGATTTAATTCCTATTGTAGCATCAAAGACACATATCTCACATTCAGGTCAATCTGCCCACTCCAAAGACTATCCCCTGCCTCCCCTTCCCATTGCCATTCGAATAGAAGAAATGCATAGTACAGAATGGTCAATAATGACCTATGAGCTAGGATCTGGGTTTACCCTACATAACACACAATTCAGACTGCACTATCACTATCATCTCCTTAGTCTGGTCACACAGAGGTGCACCACATTTAATAAACATGTAATCTCTTTGTATCCAGGTTCCCTGTCCAACCAAACGTGGGACCAAGCTGGGCCCCACCGCCATATCGTCCGCCTCTCTCCATGGCCCTAACTGATCCCTGGAGCTTGGGAAACTGGATGCCCCCTGCACCAAGACCATCACTGTTTCCAGATCCTCCCCTGATGTGGCTGCCTGCTCCTGAGATGAACCGAGGACCACTCTGCCCCGTGCCACTGGAGGAATGGATGCCACGCCCCTCCTGCTCCCCCTTCCCAATACATGATAAAAATTAACTGCTTGCGTTGCCCTACACACAGAGCCCAATCATGATTCCAATCACTTATGGACGTATGTGATTTACGTTGAGTCCAGACCTATGTTAAATGAGAATCATACTTAAACTCTGTTTCTTGATTCTTTGATCAAACAATTTGGGTGCTCATTATATTTGTTTTATTTGTGTTTAAAGTGCACTCCCGTATACTTTTATCTTAGTTTGAGTCACATGTTCACTATACTTGTTTATTGCATGCTCATGTCACTTATGACCAACCATTGCTGTTCAAATTTGGACTCTGTGCCTTCGTGTTCATGGATCCCACTGTGAAATGTGGTTGAAACTGGTTATGACAAGTGCAATAGTGACTATATAGTCACTAAGGGGGGATATGTAGTGTATTTCTGGTCACTATACGATGTCACAATATGAATGTCACTATATACCTTTAATCTGCACTACAATCTAATGCGTGTTAAAGTTATAAAAGAGACATCATTTACTGATGATTACAACAAGTTTAACGCAGCAATGACGAATCAAATAATATACTCAGTGTGTTACAAGCAGTGTGATGTGTATGTGTAACTTGTATAAAGAAATAATAATKTTTTTAAAAAAGGCAATCTGACAAAAAAGAAAACATAATGGTGTCAAATCAGAGACAAATATCTTTAAAAAAAATAGTAAACGATTTGGACAGAATATAATGGTGTAAAGAGTAAGGAAGACTGTTTAAAGAAAAAAGAGACATATCATGGCAAGGTAGGGGCTCTCCAGAGGGAAAGTCCCAGTTCCAAGGCCATCCAAAGCAACCCAGGTGTTTGGAGACTTTCCAGGGGGAAGGTCACAATGTAAGACCATCCCCAATAACCAATAAGATTAGATCACGATGTCAGACCATAAATGATAGATGTAATGATAAACCAGTCAGATAAGTAACAGGCGAGGCCCTTAAGGATAGATAAAGCGGAACAATAACACTGTTAGAGTTTTTCTCTGGTGTGGCTCGGGCTCACTACTGAATGCTCTCGGGTTTTCTGGTCGACAATAAAACTCTGCTACTTTTAAGTTGACTTCTCCTCTTTTTTATACAACTGAATTTTTGGACTTTTTGACAATGAGTGGAACTTAGTTTTCACCACAACACAAGAACGAGTCAATCCCCATTGACCCCCCATGTTAGAAAACCCAAATTTAGAGCAGGATTAAACATATTAAATTGTTTTTGCAAGTTTAGATATTATAGAGATTTGAAATTATGCATAATTAACACTTGATCGACACGAGGACACTACCGTCCCTGATCACAAACTCTTTCCCTCGTCCCTCAGGCTGCTAGCTACTGTTGTCTGCTCGGCTTCACCTGAGCTAATCGGCTAGTCAGTGAACATGACCCGGCCACGTCTATGGAGAAGTTTTCAGTCAAATATTGGATGTATATGATTTGTTGTACGGCTGATTGTCCTGAGAGAGAGAAGTCAAAGATGGCTGTGTTCCAGTTTCTGTCGTAAGTAAAATGCACTATATATATATATATTATGTATGTGTTATCTTAGCTCTGCTAATAAGTCAGCTAATGAATTAGCCCTTGGGTTAGCCTTCAGGCAAGATATCAGCTGTAATGACGATGCTAACAGGAGCAAGTGATTTTTCACTACAGTTAAACCGACACAACACTGACATGAACTGGTCCACATGTCAGAGAGAAGTGTTAAGAGTTAACGGGGACAATACTTTTATACAAAAGGCGTCTGTGTGTGTTTGGAGAATAAGCTCCACAATGTTAGTTGCTACACTTGACTGTGAATGTAAATGTGAGACAATTCAACCCTAAAGTCATATTAGATTATTGTTCCATTAAGATTGGTGCAGGTGCTGAAGTGTGAAATTGTTTGAGCTGAAGTTTGTTATTGCGGCTGTAAATGTAAAAGTCTGTGAAGGAGTTAACCTGGCACATGTATGATTTAACATATCTGTGTATATGTGTAGTTTTCCTCTAGGTGACTCAGACAGCCTGCACTGGATGTCCAACTTGTCGAGACAGAACTAGAATTTAACAAGACCGAACACTGAGAGTCATCACTTCAGCAATGACTGCAGGTACAGACCTGTTTTCATAACTTACAAACAATCAAATCCAAGTATTGCTTAAACTGATGAGGTATTGAACATAATAAATTACATTATATATGCAATAATTATAATGTTGAATAAATGCAAACCAGGCATTCTTTGTCTTGGAAGTACACTGTTTAATCTAAAACCATATTCAAATACATAGTTGAATATCCACAGAATTTAAGGACACAAACATTGTGTATAAGTAACAGCCGGTTACTCTGCAATAATGCAATACTTTTATATTTACTCTCATTTTATTAGGGATTATGTCCTGAAAGGACACATCTGTGCTGACCTTGTTCTGTCTCTTATGGCAAAGAAGAAAAATGAAACACTGGGTTTTTTATCTCAAGTGTATCAAATGAAAAACACTCTAACCAAACTGTCAGGAACAGACTCCATGAGGGTGGCGTGAGGGCCCGTCTTCCACTAGTGGGACCTGTGCTCAAAGTCCAGCACCATGCAACTTAATTGGCATTCGCCCAAAAACAGATATTTTGTTGTTTGAGCCGATGATGACAATGACCAGTTGGTGGTGGGTCAGTGATTGTCTTGGGAGTCATATCCTTGTAGGGTCACATAGACCTCCATGTAAGCCATTGGTACCCTTACTGCTGTTAGGTACTGGGTCCCTGGGTTCCTCCTGGTGCAGGACAATGCCCGGCCTCATGTGGCCAGAGTGTGTAGGCAGTTCCTGGATGACAAAGGCATTGATCAATGTAAATATCAATGTACATCAGTAAACATTTTGAACTTGAATAATTTGTTCATGAAGAATTGATGTGTGCTTTAAGTGTAATTTTTTTGGAGCAGTGTATTTACAGTAGGGCTGCAACTAACAATTATTGCCAATTTTTTTTTTGATTCATCAATTTTTAATCAGATAGACAAAACTTCATTGTATCCTTACAGCAGTTTATTCGAAAAGCAAATACACTGCCTAGCCCAAAAAAAAGTCGCAAGCTGGATTAAACTAAGCAAACAGGTAAGAGCCTCCTATTGGATAATTACTGCATGGGTGATTATCTTTCAGCTGGAAACAAGTTATTTAACCCCAACTGATGCAATTTGTAGCTTCTCATTTCTTAAATAACCATGTCGAAAGACATCCCGTGGTCGTGGAAAAGAAGTTACTTTGTTTGAGAAGGGTCAGATCATTGGCATGCATCAAGCAGAGAAAACATCTAAGGAGATTGCAGAAACTACAAAAATTGGGTTAAGAACTGTACAACGCATTATTAAAAACTGGAAGGATAGTGGGGAACCATCGTCTTCAAGGAGGAAATGTGGCCGGAAAGAAATCCTGATTGATCGTGATTGACGATCACTTAAACATTCTGTGAAATGAAATCGTAGAAAAACAACAGTAGAACTCAGGGCTATGTTTTATAGTGAAAGTAAGAGCATTTCCACATGCACAATGCTCCCTTGGAACAATCCTTGGAACTCAAGGGATTGGGATGGAACAGCTGTGTAGCCTTAAGAAAACCACTAATCAGTGAGGCTAATTGGAAAAAAAAGGCTTCAATTTGTATGCTGAGTCCAGATTTACCCTGTTCCAGAGTGATGGGTGCATCAGGGTAAGAAGAGAGGCAGATGAAGTGATGCACCCATCATACCTAGTGCCTACTGTACAAACCTGTGGGGACAGTACTATGATCTGGGGTTGTTGCAGTTGATCTAGGTTCAGCAACATTATGTGCCCAAAGAATGAGGTCAGCTGACTACCTGAATATACTGAATGACCAGGTTATTCCATCAATGTTTTTTTTCTTCCCTGATGGCATGGGCATATTCCAAGATGACAATGCCAGGATTCATCGGGCTCAAATTGTGAAAGAGTGGTTCAGGGAGCATGAGACATAATTTTCACACATGGATTGGCCAATACAGAGTCCAGACCTTAACCCCATTGAGAATCTTTGGGATGTGCTGGAGAAGGCTTTGGGCAGTGGTCTGACTCTCCCATCATCAATACAAGATCTTGGTGAAAAATGAATGCAACACTGGATGGAAATAAATCTTGTGAAATTGCAGAAGCTTATTGAAACAATGCCACAGCGAATGCATGCCGTAATCAAAGCTATAGGCGGTCCAATGAAATATTAGAGATTGTGACCTTTTTTTTTTGACCAGGCAGTGTATATCTTCTTGTACAATTCTCTTTCTAAATGTATTACAGATATCAGCAACTTAATTATAAATATAATTTGATTTTCAGATACAAACTGAATACAGTTGGTACAATTTAATTTTGACTCATATTTCGAGTTCAAGATATTTTTAAATCACCTCAAGATATGTTGTTGTAGATATCATTTAACTTGAATTATGACTAGTCACAATTCAATTGTGGATATCTGTAGCTGGAATTTAAGATGATAGAATATTTGACCTGATTTGTAGATAACTATAATGAGAAACCCAGCACACATTAATGATGTAAGTAATTCGAATCTTACTAGTCATGATGTAATTTAAGACTTTTTAGCAGCCAAAGTCGAATTTAAAATATTGTTTTGACTTTTCAAAATCATGCTATAGCTATCTTATGCAGAAATTATTATTGCTACTTGGTCTGCTGAATGTGCCTCTGTGCGATAGCTGTCTGTGTGACTGGAAGTTTGGCTTTCAATTACACAGCCTCTGTCACTCACAGCAGACAAGCTGCACTGGGCTAAATCCATGTCCGTATTTACAAAATACTTTGCAATGCAACATTTCCAGGAGGTAGTTTTTGCACTCTTGAATTAAACTGCTGTGAAAAGTCAGAAAATGACTGCTTTGCGTTCAGTATCGGCACCTGCTTTCTTCATTCAGCAAAATAGGTCTCTCGACAACCGCTGCTTTCTCTATCCTGGTTGATCCGGGGAAGTAACAGTGGTCAAAAGTGTATAAACACTTTGTATACAAGCATTTTAAAGAAGAAGAAGACCTATGCAAAGCTGATTTTACATGAAATAGCAGCATAATTCATTGGGTATGACCCCTGAAGTTGTTTACAATCCACCAATAAACCCAATGGCTGCAACATGTTTTCTCTTCAGGTTCATACATCAGTGATGTTGTGCTGCTGTTCCATGTAAAAAATGCTTTAAGTTTTCCTACATTTTTGATGAGTTGTCTCTACTGTATCTTTGCCACCATTTTCAAATAATTACTCCACAGAGAAGACAGCCTTGTCACTTGAGCTACACGAGGCTGGCATTTTTTCAGTGTGTGCCCTGTATTTTAACAGACCCTACTAATCTATTATGACATTAGTTATCAAGTATTTTTATAATCGATTAGTTGTTGCAGTCCTAGTTTACAACAGTCAGACTGATGACTTCACACATTGCTAAATTGATCAAGAACAACGAGGATTAACAAGGATAGAGAACTAAGAGGTGTTCGAGAGTCCTATTTGCTCAATGAAAAAAGCAAATGCAGATAGCAAACACACAGCAGTGAAATTCAAAAGCCCAAAAACGACTTTCTTCTAGAGTAATGAAAACTCACACGTGTGCATCATGCATGGTAGTGAATTTCTATAATAATGAAAACAGAAAGTGCTTATAACTTTCATGTATATTATCCAATCTGTCTCAGACCTCACACACCTCATACCTCACGTACAACAAAGGTCCTGCCCTCAACAGATGCATATGATATTTTATAATAGTCATAGCGCCCCTAGCTGTAACAGGAAATTTCACGTTTTAAATGTAAGAAGTCCTTATAAGGTCCATTTATATTGTCCAATCTACCTCAAACTCATAAGTATGACAAATGTCTCGCCCTGAACAGATCCATATGAAAGTCATAGCGCCCCCTACCTGTAACAGGAAATGTCATGCATTGCATGTAGGTGTCCTGCAGCTAGCCCGTTCACACAATTCATGTGAAATTTGGTCAGGAGAGCCAAAAGGTGTTGATAATACCATAGATCAAACTTGTAAGTTTTCATGGCGTGTCCATGGCATGGTGTTGAAGTTTGCCTTGCAGCTTCAAGTAGTTTTAACTTTTTCTGTTTTTGTTCCAATCACTCTCATACTTCATATGTGTGATAAAGGTCCTGCTCTCAACACATCTTTATGCAAATAAACTATAATAATCACAGCACCCCCTGGCTATGACAGGAAGTACTATGTTTTATACTTTGACATGCTACCCCTAGCTTTTTCATTTGATCCACCTCAAAATAGGTCAGGAAAGCCTTGAGACAATGGTGATGCTATGCTATGTTGTGTTACACTGAACTGCAATGGCATGCATTTCAATGGAATGCCAACAAACAGGAAGTGGCTGTATTGTCACTGCACATGCTCCAATCTACCTCAAAATGGACATGTACAATGAGAATCACTATGTGAACACAAGAACAATATTCAGCTGAGGCAGAATGGCTCAACAGCACCACCTACTGGAAGCCTTAAGAAGTGCCTCTGTTGCAAACTTCATTGGAATAACCAAGCAAATCATTTTCCCAGCCGAATCCAGACCTCGTGGCTGAATCATGAGACAGATGCATGGACACTCTCAGACATCCTTCCCCTCGAGTCCCAAGTGAATGCCTTTTCCTGAGGGCGGCGGGGGGTGGATGCAGCCACCTTTGCATGATTGTATCACTCCCCTGCAGTTGCAAGGCTCAGGACTGCATCATACTTGCTTGCGAGTGTAGTTACTTTTATGCTTCCCTTTAAAGGTACAGTGTGTAGAATTTTGTGATATTTAGAGTTGAAATTGCATCTTGCAGCTGAAAACCCCTAATCTCACCCTCTCCTTCCAAACATGACTAATTATAAAAGTGTCTGCTAAATGACTAAATGAAAAAGAAACTGTGGTAGCCTTCAGTTGTTATAAAAACTCAAAAGGTGTTTAGTTTGTCCAGTCTGGACTAATGTAAAAAACATGGCAGCCTCCGTAGAGAGGACCCCTTCCATGTAAATAATAATTCCCTTTCCTCTAAATCTTACACACTGGACCTTAAAGAAAGTTTATCCAATGAAATTAAAATGAGTTTGTAACGGGAGAGAGTTTACAGATTTACTGTGTGATGGCCCCCCTCTAACATCTCTCTCTCACTGTCCAGCTCTCACCTAAAAGACACTAAACTGTTGCACGGTGCGCACTCCAAAAAGTCTGGTTGTCAATCCCCGCTGCTAACCCACCCACTACATCTCAATCCTTGTTTCCAGATGCGCCAGACCTGTCACCTAAATACTAAATGCTTCACAGTGCACAAAAGTAGGTCCATATATGTTTATTGACAGTGTCGACAATGTCCTCATCATGTTATTAAGTGAAACATTTCATCTCTCATCCAAGAGGCTTTTTCAGTTCAGTTTGCCAAGTCTTGTTAAAAGAACAGTAAAAGTATAATAATAGTTATATATCCTATTCCCACCACTTAATTGTGGCCATGCAATAATTCTTCCCCAAAAGTTACCAGAGGGGCTCTGTAATTATGTAAGTACCAGTTACCATTTACATTTTCCAAAAAACTCTACATTAAATCAATGTGAATTTAATGGAAAGTACCCTTCTTAAGGCTATATATATAATATGATATTATCACCAGTAGAGGTAGAGTGGAATTTTCATGTGGGTGTGGTTCTCTAAATTGGAGAAAATAATTCCTTTGGATGGGTGATGGGCAGATAGGTCAATCATACATTCGGATTTGGATGTTGTCAGAGCCAATCTACGTGTCTCTAGTGTGCAAGGATCACTTGAGCTGCATTGCTCAGTTGCATTTTACGTGTGGAGGTTTGAGACTCATCACAGCTCAACACAGTGCATATTTGTGACAAGGTCCATTTACTCTCCATACTGCCTCTCTTCCCAAGCATGACTACAATAAAGGCCTTTACTATGACCTGGGGTTAGGCGATATGACTTAAAATCAAAATCATGATTATTATTATCAAACTTTTTTACGCGAACTCGATTAATGAACAATTGTTGTATATATTTCATTACAATACTTCTCTGCTCTTCAGTCTGCTTTAGAAGTTTTATTTGAAAATTGTATTATCTGTATCACATATTCATAACAGTTTGTTCATCATCAGAGAAAAAAACGAAAAATTAATACACATAACTTTAAAATTGAATTGTTAATTAACAGCATATTTTCAGCCTTATTTTAAAAATAAAAAAAATACGGTTTCTTTTCAAGTTAGGGTTAATATCATTTACATTTAGCTTTGTTGAATTTAAATTTTAGATTAGATAAAATCAGATTAGATATACTTTATTTATCCCACAACAGGGAAATTTACATGTCTGTCTATTTTCCTCTCAGATATTATGTATTTTCAGTATTCATGGTTCTCATAATATTGCTCATAATTAACAACTCTGCCTTATCCACATGCAAGTGCTAGTAGCTGATTAAGAAAATCCAGGGTTAACTGAGACTGCTGATAACCAGATTGGTAGCGCAGGTCGGGAAAGATTAGGTGAGGTTGAAGTGAAGCATGATAACATAAAGGTACCCTGGGTATCTTACTTGCTTTGTCATACAGAACTCTGAAGACATACAGTATGCAATTTAAATGTGATGTGTGTTTGCTACAAACTGAGTGCTCCTCACTTCCCCCTTCCCTTCCTCAGGGGGAGGAGGGCTACGGTGACTCCCCTGCCTCAAAATGCCGGATGACCGCACCAAGCTTTCTTCTCTCCAGTGATGTGTCAATAGATATCATTACAATATTACCTGTGTATTTCGCAATAAATGACACGTAGATTAAATGCAGAAAATATGTTGCTGCACTGTTGTAGTGCTTTATTACTAACGTTAAGTACATGAATTAGCAGAATTCTAATGCAAACTAGCATTAACAAACAGACACATTTTCTTTGTTTACAGACTGAAACAGTTGGGAGCTGTACTGAGGTAAAGATAGAAGATGAGGAAGAGGAGGAAAAGCAAGCAGGGGCAGACTATCTGTGAGGGACATATGAGGGAGAGTTCCCAAAGCAGCAGCGGTGAGGAGGAGAGACTGAACCACTGGGACCAGACTAAAGCTACGGAGCTAATATCAGTTACTGACTTCAGAGACACCACTGAAAAATTATTATATGAAAACTGTATAGGGATAGTATGTTAATGGTATATTTTGACTTGTAAACCTGTTATTGATTTACGTGTGGGATAAAAGAAACCATTACAGCCTACAACCCCTGATCCCTGCTATTACCATATAGTCAACATAATATAGTGTAAATAATAAAGTCTTATCTGTGTTCTCCGTTATGTTTTCAGACACTTATTCAAGAAATGAATCTGGAAACACACAGGGAGCTGACAGCGGCAGGAATGGTGACCCACCTTTTGTTGGGAGTGCCATGGTGTTCTTATAAACTGTAGGGACACACCTTTCAGACAAAGAGGTGAAATGCTGTTTCACCTCTTGCTGCTCTCATCATCCCCAGCTACTCTATTTGTCAGATCAGGTTACTTGTCCCAGGTCCTACAAACAAAGCCAAACAGTTTTCATACATGATCTGGAAGTTTTCTGCCAGTCCCTTTGGGAGCTTCATACAGTACCACAAGTATTCACACGCCTGCATATCTATCATCAAGGATATAATTAGGGTTATTATTATTACTTCTGTTCTGGTACATCTTT